CATTGTTAACCCATACCCCTGTAGAAAACAACGTTACCAACTAGTGTACAGTACTTATGTGCAGTGCCTTTTGCCTGTAGTCTTACAAACTCCATTCATTTCCAATGTTTAAATCAGCACATTTCTCCCCTAAATCTACTTAAAAGCTGAAGATATTAAAGATGATATACAAACGGCCAAGAAGCATATATAAAGATGCTCAACATCACTAATCATTAAGGAAATGCAAATCAAAACCCCTCATACATTACTGGTGGGAAAGTAAAACAGCACAGCCACTGTGGAAAATAGTATGGTGGTTTTTCAAAAAATTAAAAATAGAATTACCATATGATCCAGCAATTCTACTTCTGGGTATATATCCAAAAGAACTAAAAGCAGAATCTCAAAGAAATATTTGCATACCTATGTTCATAGCAGCACAATACCAGGAGGTAGAAGCAACCCAAATGCCCACTGACAAATGGATAAATAAAATGTGGTATATACATACAATAGAATATTATTCAGCCTTAAAAAGGATGGAAAGTCTGACATATGCTACATCAATGAACCTTGAGGACGTTATGCTAAGTGAAATAAGCCAGTCACAAAAAGACAAATAATGTATGATTCCACTTATATGAGGTATCTAGAGTAGTCAAAATTCACAGAAACAGAAGGTAGAATGGTGGTTTACAGGTGCTAGGGAGAGGAGGAAATAGGGAGTTGTTGTTTAATAGGTATAGAGTTTCAGTTTTGCAAGATGACACAGTCCTGAAGATTGGTTGCACAACAATATGAGTATACTTAACACTACAGTCAGGCGCCACATAACGATGTTTGGTCAATGATGGCGGTCCCATAAGATCAGCACCATGTAGCCTAGGTGTGTGGTCAACTATACCGTCTAGGCTTGTGTAAGTGTACTCTATGACGTTCGCACGACAAAATCTCCCAATGACACATTTCTCAGAATGTATCCCTATCATTAAGCGATGCATGGCTGTACTTAATACACTTAGAAATTTTTAAGATGGTAAATTTTATGTTACGCATTTTTTACCAAAATAATAAAAAGAAAAAAGAAGCTCAAGATATTAAATCACACTGAATGAGTTGAGCAAACATTCCAATGTGCTTTAAAAAAAATGCTTTTTTAAGTGCATGGATACTAGGCATATTTTATTCCTAAGAGGCAGTACAAATAGGAGAGGCAGCCTTCTAACTCTAGTCTCCTGCAGAGCCAATTTATTTATTTAACAAGAAATATGTTGATAGGTTACTACAGGCCACATACATATTGGGCATTTGACCTGTTTTCTCATAACATTCTCCTAACACAATCTTAGAGAAGTGCCTATGGTGGCTCAGCTAATAAATGGCAAGGCTGGATTTGAATCCAGCCAGGTCAGTACAACTCTGTGACTGGCTCTCTTCTCTAACAGCATGCTACAACTCATAGATTAATAGGTTAAACAACCCCAAAGAGTGAGAAAACACTAAACACACACACACAGACCAGCAGTCCCCAGCAACTAAAAAGCAAGAATTTAAGTGCAAAACGAAGACCTTATTCAAATACCTCATTGTCTGACACTCCTACTATCCATATAAAATATATTTTCCTATGCAGGCATACACTTCCTAGACACACCAGGGGTTTTGAATAGTGACTGGGGAAGGGCTGAAGATTAAAGAATTTTAAAAATGCCAAGTAATATTATAGATCAAATAATCCTTAAAGGTATTAAAAGAGTTAAATGCAAAAAATGTTCCTATGGAAGTGATCTTCCACATATAAGAAACATGCTCAAAATAAGCTATAACCTTGATATTTATGTTATTGCCATTATGTTATTAAGAGACACATACTTTAAAATTTTGAACCCATTTGTTCATCTACAAAATAAGGATAATATCTATCCTATAAGGTTATTTTGAGGATTAAGCAAGAAGGTCCTAACAATTTTGCCTGGAAAATAGTCTTTTCATTTTTTAAAGCAATAAAGGAACACATTCATCAGTTCTGTTTAGATCATAAAGCAAGAGTAAATATTCAGACAATATGTCTACTACTATTCTTGGTATTTCAACAATATTAACTTAGTTCCCCTAAGTTTGAGGTATGATACTATCATAATAATAACAGCAGCTGCCAATTATTGAGATCTTACTGTGTAACAGACACTGTGCTAAGCACTTTACATATACAATCTTTTTTTACTACCTCACAACTGGTATTATCCCCAGTTTACCAAAGTGAGAAACAAGGCTCAGCAAGATTAAATTGTTTTCCAAGCTGCTAATTGATGGTGCTGGGATTTGAACCCAGGTCTGTGCTCTGCCAAAGCCTTAGCTCATTCCCACCAGTGGCTAGCAGGCGATAACACTGACATTTGTCGGCAAGTCCTTAGAAGAAACTACATTCCAGCCTGACCGTGTCAATAAGAGTACTGAACGCATGCTTTTCACCTCGTCCTACTCTCACACTCCCTGTTTCTACTGCCTTGGTTCTCGCTCCCTGGACACAGCTAATGCTACTTCATAGCCTCCAGCAGGCTTTTTTGTAAATTAGCCCACAAAGTAAGTCATCATCATTATTGCAGAGGGTTAAACAAGTTCCCATTTCCTCACTCCTGGCAAAGAAATACTAAATGGCCTGGCAAGGAAATACTAAATGGCCTAAATATGCAATTTGCAAAGTTTTCAATCAAGAGTGAGGAGAGATGAGAACATTAATCTACGAAGTATTATAAGGGACTGATATAACCCTCCTCCCCCATTAGCCTATCAAGGAGGAATTATTTAAACAAGTCGGACTTCATCAGACTAAAGACCTCCTGCAAGGCAAAGGAAACAAGGATCACAATGAAAAGACAACCCACCAACTGGGAGGAGATATTTGCATATCATATATACAACGAGGAGTTAATCTCCATAATATATAAAAAACTCACACAACTGAACAACAAAAAAAACAAACAACCCGATCAAAAATGGGCAGAGGACATGAACAGACATTTTTCCAAGGAAGATATACAGATGGCCAATAGGCATATGAAATGATGTTCAACGTCATTAATCATGAGGGAAATGCAAATCAAAACTACTAAGATTATCATCTTATTCCCACGAGAATGGCTATAATCACCAAGACAAAAAATAACACATGTTGGAGAGGCTGTGGAGAAAAGGGAACCCTCATTCACTGCTGGTGGGAATGCAAACTGGTGTGGCCTCTATGGAAAACAGTATGGAGATTCCTCAAAAAATTAAAAATAGAAATACCTTATGATCCAGCTATCCTACTTCTGGGTATTTATCCAAAGAACTTGAAATCAACAAGCCAAAGAGGCGTATGCACCCCTATGTTCACTGCAGCATTATTCACTATAGCCAAGAAGCAGAAGCAACCCAAGTGTCCATCGACTGATAAATGGATAAAGAAGATGTGGTATATATATAAAATGGAATACTACTCAGCCATAAGAAAAGACAAAATCGTCCCATTTGCAACAACATGGATGGAGCTGGAGGGTATTGTGTTAAGCGAAATAAGCCAGAAAGAGAAAGACAAACACTGTATGACTTCACTCATGTGTGGAATATAGACTAACACACAGACAGAACAGTTTGTTGATTACCAGGGGGAAGGGAGTTGGGGGGTGGGCACAAGGGGTGAAAGGGTGCATTTATATGGTGACTGACAAATAATAATGTACAACTGGAATCTCACAATGTTATAAAGTATTATGACATCAATAAAAAAATCATAATAAAAAATTAATTAATTTAAAAAAATAAAAGGAGGGATTTTTGTCTGTTCTCTGCTGTATTCACGACTCCCAGGATTAGTGCCTAGTACATAGTAAGAGCTCAAGAATCAATGAATGAATATACATTTTCTCAAAAACTGTATTTTTGTCCTGGAAGCAGCACAGGAAAGTAGTTAAAGCTTGGAATGTAGGAGTGGCAGAAACTGAAGCTAAGAATTATGACGTTCCCGCAATGAACTTCTATCTTCCCAAGATTCTAAAAATCTCTCAGACACAAGGAGCCCACACACAACCCTATCTTCTTAACATTTCCATCTAAGCACCAACATATGATATAGGGTCTCCAATAACTACTTTTAATGTAAATAGTTTACACTGAAATAATTTTGTTCTCTATAATAGAATGTGATTATCCATTATAATAGAATATGATATATAATAGCATGTGATTAAGAGAATGTGATACTGAGAATGTGATATTTAGAATGTAATCTATAACAGAAGGTGACAATGTGTGACTCATGTGAAATCAATGTGACTTCATTTCAATTATACCGTAAGATTTCAAAATACAGCTAAGCTCTCAACATGAGACCTAACAATTCCACCTTCCTAGTGTCATTTACCATGAAGTGAGTCTCTTCTTAAGCAGGTCTTACACAGATGCAACTTAACATTAATACAGAGCTTTAGAATTTATTGAGAGCTTTCCCATAGATTATCTCAAATCAAAACTCTACTGTGAGGTAGATATTGCTGTGTATCTAATTTACTGACTAAACCGAGACTCAGATAGATTAAGTAACTTGCCTAAAGTCATATCAGTTTCACACATAGTACAAGCAGGACAAAAACCTAAGTTGCCTGACCAAAAGTCCTATTTGCCCACCTATCTGTTCATCTTTAAAACTGTAAGCTACTATCTAGCAGGTTCTATCTAAATCACCTAATACATTACAGCAAGGACAGATACACATTTTAATGCTTTTTGATAGTGATAATGACAACATCATTATCTGCCATTGTTACCAACCACACTTTTAAGATAAAAATTGTTCCACTATGGCCGCCTTCTATTTTCTGCTGATAATCAACAAGCGAAATCCCTTCACATTAGGTTCGGAAGCCTCCCGCAATAGAAAATAAGTAGAATGAAAGTAGTAGCAAAAAATAACCCATTACTAGAAAGTTCTAATGCAAAGAATGTCCAAGACAATGACTCATAAACCAAAAAAGATTTACCTTCAACTTAAGTGATTCTCCAAGTAACGTTCCCTTATAATCTGTTGTATAGGTCCAATCGTATGGTTTAATAACCTCCTTGGAGTGGTCACCCTCAGTCCTCAAACACCAAAAGGAGAAGGATCAGAGTCAGTGATGCAGAACAGAGACTATCTGGATTCATTTAGCACATCAAATTACATTCTACAAACAATGTAAAATATCCTACTAAACACATACACTAATATCACTAATACAAGATCTTTCTTACAGTTCTTCTGCACATTTATCGTGATTTAACTTGTCATGTGCCAATGTAATCTCTCCAATTAGTCTGTACACTGCCTGAGGACATGATTTAAAAGCTTATACTTTTTTGTATCCTCCAAGGTCCTAGTACATAATAGGCACAAAGTAAATAATTGCTGATTTGATTATCAAAGAAGATACATTTTTCTTAATTTCAACGCTCCTCAAATTTTCAATGCAAATCATAAGTAAACATTTTTCTTCAAAAACAAGAACATTAAAGTACACAGTGTACTGCCTCTTCACTAAATAACACTGAAGGCTCAAAAAAGTAAACCGTACATAGCTCAGCTCCATTATAATTCAATTTTACTCAACAAGTATTCAAGAGGTGGGTAACTAACCTCCATTTCATGGATGAGAAAAAAGAATTCTACAATGATCCAACTATCAAGTTTAATAATAATACTAGCCCTTCATTCTAATAAAACACACAGATGATGAATGAATATTTCTTTCAGCTCTTTCTTGTTTAACCCATAACTGCCCTGATTCTCACCTGCTCTCCTGCCACTCTTCAGCACAGGCTACTTTAAGCATTCCTTGGTAGTTGTTTACACATCTTAATGCATCTGTAGCATTGAACTCAATCCCAAAGCCAGAGCCATGCTGGATTCTTAAAACGTTGTCTCCAAACATCATTTCAGGGAGAGATGGCATATGCAATTCATCGGCTAACCTACGCATAACCAAAAGTCAGGCAGGATTCTTTTATATCACTGTTGGCACTTTTGCTTCCTTTTGATCCCAACAGAATACTTCCTACATTCCTGGATGAGTTAAATAACATATGATTTAATAAACACATTTGTAAAGTCATCCATTCTTTCCATGTATATCTTTATGGCACTGTACTAGGTAGTGGGCTAAAGAAGACAGATAATAAACAAATATAAAAATAAATACATAATATAATGTCAGCTAGTAATAAATGATACACAAAAAAATAAAGCAAGGTAATGGGGTGCACTATTTTAGGTAGGATGATTAGAGATCACTTCTGAGATAGTTGAATTTGAGCCTCAAAACTACCTTGTGATGGGGCCAGCCCGGCAGCGTAGTGGTTAAGTTCATGCGCTCAGCTTCGGTGGCCCAGGGTTTGCAGGTTCGGATCCCGGGCACAGACCGACGCACTGCTTGTTATGCTGTGGCAGAGTCCCATATAAAGTAGAGGGAGATGGGCATGGATGTTAGCCCAGGGCCACTCTTCCTCAGCAAGAAGAGGAGGATTGGCATCGGATGTTAGCTCAGGGCTAATCTTCCTCTCACAAAAAAAAAAAAATAAAACTACCTTGTGAGCTATGAAAGGCTCAGAGAGTTTAAGTAGCTAACTCAAGACCACAGAGCTAGTAAGAGATAATACCAGGCCTCTTTCCATTATACTAGACTGCTTTATAAATACTTGGACCTCATTTCGCCAGCCTCATTAGAGAAGAAAGTTACAGTAGACATACTATAAAGCCAGGATCACAAATTATTAATTCACAGATGTGTTTTGATTAGCCTGCACAATATTTTTTTATATATATTTGAAATAGTTGCCAATGAAAATTGAGAGATTTTTGAGAAATCTGGACTTCTGGTTTCTTTTTTTCTAAAAAATATGGAAGACTTGGCAACATTGGACCTGTATTCCACATAGCACCAGTTGGCTATTGCTGAGTAGAGGTTGCCCCCTTTAAGTGGGCACCAGTCACCTTGGCCCTCTGGAAAGCTGAGTTTAGAATCCCTGTTATAAAGTTTTTAAGTGGCAGCTAGTCACTCACTTCTGAAACAAGTAGCTGTATGTATAGGTTACCGTGCCTTAGGGACCCATCACCTCAGCACAACCCAGACTCTCATTTAGGGATGAAAGTTCAGCTTCTCAACCAAAGGCAAAGATCTATGGGCTGGCAGGAACCCCTGAACTTTAGCCTGAGAACTCTGCCCCATATCCTCATGCTGAATTGCATAATGGCCAATTAAACTCACTCTGATCTCTCTTTTCATAAGTCTGAATGACAGTCAAGCAAAGTACAGACCAAGAGACATGACATGAAACAGAAGCCATGAGGTCGTGAGGGGGGAAGAGTGAAACTGTTAAGTAACAGCAAGAAAAGCAGACAGAGCAAAGCAGAGACTGAGAAATAATAGTAATAAGAAGAACAGAGACTTCTATAGTTGTTGGGGCCACAAGAACTGCTGTTCATTTTCTGAGATAATTCCTGTGTTTAATTATTTCCTCAGGTACTATTAAATTCCCATTACTTGAGGCAACGTGGGTCTCTGTTCCTTGCAACCTGAAAGCATAACTAGCATAAGAGGTTCCAGGGAAGTAAGTTTTCCAGTTACCTTATATACCAAATTTTTTATTTTATTGATTTTGGAAAATTTTCAAAATGTATTATAGACTTTTCTGTGTTCTTAAACAAAAAATATAAAATGTTATTTTACCTTTTCTTGATGATCAGAGATCATCACATTTAACAACCTTGTAAGACAATGTCCTCAAGTTCAATTGCCTGTGTACACCTCTAGCTGCTCCAGAACGTGGTACCTGCCCCTGAAACACCCTTGCCCCTTTTTATTTGGTTTCTAATCTATCACAGGCTGGAAAAGCAAACAATCACACTTCTTAAAATCACATAATGAATAATAAGAGAACGTGAAAGATAACAACAACTCATTTATCAGGGCAAAGAGACTGTAGGGAACTTTTTGCTTCATTACATTTCCAATATGGTTATAACTATAAAGTGTGCAATGGAGTCAAAAGTTGAAACATGCTCTGAGTGATGTTCTAAGGGACTCAATAAAGCACAGGATTTCAGTGCAAGTGTTCTATGACAGCTACTTTACCACATCAGAAGGCTTTCTTTTCTTCTCTCTTTTTAAGACTTCTGGATTTTTGAACAGCTACATAGCTATACTTGTTAGGTAAGGTAAAATAATACTACAGTAAAGAATATATTCTTACATAAGGCCAACAAAAGATCTATGAATAGTCCAAGACCATTACCCTCTTTCCAATTGCTTCAGATCCAATCAGACACACCAATTAAATCTTGTATATATATTAAAAACAAATAAGCAAAAAACCCTACATGAAAAATTAAACAATTTAGGCTTTGAATGGGAAAGATATTGGTTCTTATTAGAAATACCTATTTCATTCTTGGATCATCAATGGCCCATCACTTCCAAGAACAAAGATGGGTTCTAAACCCATTATGACTTTCTAGGCAATGACTTAATGCATAATAGTCTGTGTTTCCATAAGCTTCATATCGCTGGTGAACTTTTTGTTTTTATACAACAATTATATTAATTATAGCTGTGAAGAAAAGACAGGAAGGATCCTGTTTCTTGTAGGAAAACAACTTTTCCAGGAAAATTCTCAACTTGTTACAAGTTTTAAAAGGTGGTGATGAAGAAAGGAAAAGCACTGACGCTGATGAGGGAAACCAGCACTTGCTCATATGGATTTCCAGAAGGACTGTGTCAATTTACATTCCACCCTGGGGCAACAATTAGGCAAAAAGCACCAAGAATTCAATCAAATTTATACTCTTTGACTCAAAATATCAGCTTTGGGAAATCTGTAATAAAGAAATAATCCCCAATGCAGAAAAAGCTACACATGTTAATACCCATAATCACCTTATTTATAATAGTGAAAAAGAAATACTCTAAATGTCCAATTACAAAGAAATAAATGGTATGTAAACTACAATATATCCATATGATGAAATATTATAGAATCATTAAAAATGTTTAAAGAGAGAATATAATCATATAGAAAAAATGCTTATGATACAATAGTAAAGGAAAAAACTAGCCACATACTGAATATTTATTACATCTGTGTGTGTATACGTATATGTGCACATATCAGTGATCTAACATTTTAAGTTGCACATCTTTAGGATGATCTCTAATGTTAATTTTTCATCATAAATTTAAATAAAATTTATTCTTTGTTATTAGAAGATAGAAAATATTAAATATTAGAAAGATTAACACTCCCATGTTCACTGAAGCACTATTCACAATAGCCAAGATGAGGAAACAACCTAAATGTCCACTGACAGATGAATGGATAAAGAAAATGTGGTTTATACATACAATGGAATATTACGCAGCCTTAAAAAAGAAGGAAATTCTGCAATATGCAACAACATGGAAGAACCTTGAGGACATTATGCTAAGTGAAATAAGCCAGTCACAGAAAGACAAATACACATGATTCCACTTATATGAGATATCTAAAATAGTCAAATTCATAGAGTCAAAGAGTGGAATGATGGTTGCCAAGGGCTGGGGGGAGGGGAAATAGGAAGTTACTAATCAACAAGCATAAAGTTTCAGTAAAGCCAGAAGAATAAGCTCTAGAGATCTGCTGGACAACACTGTACCGACAGTCAATAATAATGTATTGTACACTTAAAAATCTGTTAAGAGAATAGATCTCATATTAAGTGTTCTTACCACAATAAAACAATATTTAAAAAAAGAAAATATTAAATACTTAAAAATTAAATAAGATGAAGATCAATTGTAATTGGAATAAATACCATAAAAAGATTAGATAAAATAAGTTGAACTACTTTACTAAATAATGCATACCAAATATGAAATAATGTAAGAAGTGATTCTGTGGATTTTTTCCCATTATATCTGGAAAAATTTGGTAGTCCTATGAAATATTACAGTTATATATGTAAAAGAAACACTGTCACTAACTTAACTCCAAATGTTCTAAATTCAGAGTATCTTAAACACATGCCAAACACAGAGTATCTTAACCCCATGTCTACTGTTGAGCTTCATTCTTAACCGATAAGCATGACCATTGACAAGGCAGGGAAGACAAGAAGCCTCTATGGGTTTAAGATGCCTTAATTCATTAAAGGAATCTTCCTAAATTTAATATTTCCCCTAATCCATTTATTTAACACCCTAAGGCAATGCATCACAGAAAAATTTAGGATGGGTGAGGGTAATCCTTTCTTTTGTCTTATGAAGAAGGACTAAGTATACCTAGGCAGATCTATTTTAGAAATAATAGAGAGATTAAAGATCTGGAATTTGATTCCCTTAAAACTTTCCATGCATCCAGTACTTCTTAGAGAGTCTGTAAGTTAATTATGTGGGTAACCACAACTTGAAGCTGACTGCTTTCTATATAATACAACTATATATGGTGCAATATGTAACAGAAAATTATTTGGAGGGGAAAACTCAGAGAGTAACTCCATCTTTAAAAAAAGGGAACTTTTGGGACCAGCCTGGTGGCGCAAGCAGTTACGTGCACGCGCTCCGCTGCGGCAGCCAGGAGTTTGCCAGTTCGGATCCCAGGCAGGCACCGACGCACTACTTGTTAAGCCGTGCTGTGGCGGGGTCCCATATAAAGTGGAGGAAGATGGGCATGGATGTTAGCCCAGGGCCAGTCTTCCTCAGCAAAAAAAGAGGAGGATTGGCAGATGTTACCTCAGGGCCGATCTTCCTCACCCAAAAAAACCATAAAAAAATGGAACTTTTTTCCTTTCTTTTCTGTATTTTCCTACATTTTCTTAGTGAGTCTGCAAGAATGTTACTTTTTTTTTTCCTTTAAATTGGGAAGCTAAACACTCTTTCCTGACCCTCCACTCTTTCCTCTGCATAAATCTTAAAATGCCAGTGCTCCCTAGGGTTCCATCTCATAACTTTTTTCTTTTCTTCTGAATGACTTCTAGATGAGCTTAATTGACTCCCAAGGCTCCTATCAACTGTAAACTCATGATTCCCAAAGGTAAACCCACGGACAAGCCATCTTTTTGAAGCTCCAAGATAAACACATCCAAATGCCTACTACATCTCTATTTCATGACCCACACAGTTCAGCAAACTACTCACCCTCTATGATCCCCTTCCCTGCCTTATACACTCCACACCTGCCCCCAATCTGATCCTCTTCCCGGGTTTCTCACCTTGTTCAACGGCAACGCTTTCCATGCAACAGCTCAAGCCAGCAATCTTGAGATCAGTACAGACTCCTCCTTCTGTCAATTGGCCATCAAATCCACGGACTTAATCTTCTAAAACCTCTCTTCTCCTCTCTCCCCTTCTAAGTGGTCTCCTTGCCCAGTCCTGCAGCCCTCCAATCCATCCTCCACATCACCTCCAGAGAAATCTTTTAGAGTGTATATCTGATAATGTCGCTCTTTCGTATAAAATTACACCAGTGGTAATCAGAAAAAATTCAAAACTCTTTAGCCTGGCATAAAAGTCTTCTCAGTGCTCTCTCCACTCCCCTGGGGCCTACCTCGCACTTCTCACTCCTCCTCTGGTACCTCGCGCTCCAATCACACAGACACAATTCTACCAACAAGTCATGGCTTTCCTCTCGCAGGCCTCCCGGCTTTACACGTGCCCCAGCCCCATCCCAGTTCCCGGACTTTATGGAGCCTCAGTTCAGGCATCCCGATTTCCCGGACGCCTTGTCCCCCTAAAAGATCTCAAATAACGCCGCGTAGACATCTCTATCAAACAGCTATTCGCCCTGTATTATGGTTGTCTTTCTCTCTGAATTCCTTGCGGCAGAGGTTGTCTTTCATCTTCTGTATCTCAACTGCCTGGCGCAGCACCTGACATGCTAAAAACCAAGCATATATATGGTCCCCGTTATTAACCCGCAAGAAAACAGGTCAGAGCCACCGAGAAAGAAACCCTCTAAAGGTGGCGCAAGCTGGGGCAGGCAGAGAACCACGGCGAGGGCAAAGTCCACCGGACAGTCGTGCTCTACCAAGCCGGGCGGAGTGACAGGTTCACAAGGGCAGCGCCTGGCGAGCCCGAACCGGAGGACGGGAGGTGGTGGCAAGAGTATCTACTAACGTTGTCATTCAAAGGTCCCGTCCCGAGGGACCGAGCCTCCGCCCAGGCCCAGCCCGGCCCGCGCCCGACCCGTGCCCCGGAGCCTCACTTCTCCACATCCGCTGACTTCATGATGTGGGTCTTGGCCGCCGTCAGCTTCCAAGGCCCGAAGGAGAAGTCCTCGTGGCTGCTCTGGAAGCCGTGGATCATCATGGTCGAGGCGGGGTCCGCGTGGGTCACACGGAACAGGCGGCGGCAGCGGCGGACACCGGTTCCTCCGCCTCCCTCCGACCCAGCCCCGTCGGCCCCGAGCCGTTACCATGCCCGGCCCCGCCCCCTGCCGGCCGACCCAGGCGCGGGCCCTCCTTTCCGCCTTCTTCTCCGCCCCTTCGCTTTTTGCTTCCGGGACCGGTGGTTAATGTGGCGTGCCCCACGTCTGACGTCACGACGCATCGGAACAAGGAAAGAGAAGAAAATACTGAGGGGCGGGGCTTCGGCCGCAGGGGGTGTGGTCAGGGACGCACCGCCCCCCTGAGCGCATTGGATGACGTCATCTCGGGGATATTACGGAACGCCGGGGAAGAATGCCAGTTCAGCTTGATGCTTGCAGACCTGGCAAAGCCGCGTAGCTTCGTCGTGTGCTGGCGAATTGGTGTAGAGAGGAAATGCCCAACGTTTTTCTGTTGAGGCCAAAAGAAGTATTCCCTAAGAATTTAGGAGGTCCAACACCAAGTATTACATGATTTAGAAGTGGAACATCTAGCCACTGTTGACTAAGACAGACTATCAAAAAGTTTCGTCCGTCGGACGTTTCAAGACTTTCCTGGTGCTTTTCTAGCTGCTACCTAGGCGCCTGGTGTAGTGGAAACAGCACTGGAGACAGGGTGCTAAATCGGCTTTTGCAGCACTGTTGTGTGCATCCTTGGGCAAACCACTTAACTATTGATATTGGCTTCAGTTGCCCAAAAATGAGATGTTTTGATGTTAGGGCATCTCCCAAGTCTGTCTTTCTGGCCTCATTTCCATCAACTCCCTCTCAGCCCTACCCACCTACGCTCAGTTCTTGCCGCTCTGTCTGCCTGAAACATCATGCTCAAACCTGTCCCCTTTCAGATCCAACCTGGCACCATTTACAAATATAGAGTCTACAGCCCCCATGCCTTGCACTGGCCTGGAATAATCTGCCTTGGACTGATATATCTTCAAAACGCTTTTCCTGAACCCTAAAGCTGGATTTAATCATTCTTCCTGTGAGCCAATATGTTGATTTAAATCAACTTCACTCATTCCAATGATCACTGTCCATTAATTCATTCAAATGAATGCCAAAATGTGAGCACCTGCTATTTGCCAAGCATTCGTTTATTTATTACGAAATAGCACTCATACCCTTTTTTATTTTTATTTTTTATTTATTTTTTGTGTGTGTGAGGAAGATTAGCCCTGAGCTAACATTCACGCCCACCTTCCTCTACTTTATATGTGGGATGCCTGCCACAGCATGGCTTGATAAGCGGTACGTAGGTCTGCACCCAGGATCCAAACCTGCAAACCCTGGGCCGCCAAAGTGGAGCATGTGAACTTAACCACTACACCACCAGGCCGGCCCCAACTCATACCCTTTTTTGTAACAGAGATTGACAGTGGAATTCCAAGACATGATTTCAGAGATACAAGGCAGGACTCCCTGCCTCTTAAAATGTATGTTATCCATCTATCCAATTTCATCTAAAATTTCAGTTGCTTCTAGATAGGCCAAGTCACTGATTTGCTTAATCAGTCATTTACGTCTTAGTCTAAATGATTTTATTACCTCATTTTCTATGAGCTGGCCTTGATAGAGAAGTACCAGCCCACCCTAGCCAGAACCGAGGAGTCAGTGCTTTCCTACCTACCCTCCCAAAACATTCGTCCCCTTCCAAATTTTCCTAGAAAGATATGATGAAGACTTCCTCACATAGCGGTATTTTTAAATTTAAAAATATAACAATTAAACCAGTTATCTCTATGGCCTTCAATTCAACAATTTATTAGAGGACTTTAAAACTAAAATTCTTTGGGGATACAAGGAAATGAATCTTTAAAGGTACAACACACACATTAGAAAGATATTTAGGTATTGGCAGGGTGTTTTCAGTGCCCATTCAAGTACCATCATGCAACAACTATCTGCTTTATAAAGCTGGTTCTTGAGATGGAGTAATACCTGTAATACCTGGGACTTGATGCAGGGAGGGAATTCATTTTCAACCAAATTGGGCAAAGGATGTTAGAGCCACTAAATCAAACCATAGACTGTTTAAGTTTCTCAAGATTCAATTCTGAGAAGAACCAACTGGTTATTGTAGAAATGCACTCATTCAACAAACTTTTTTGGTACCTACTATGGTGCCAGAAATTGTTTTAGGTACTAAGGACACCGCGGTTAAAAAAACAGGCAAGAGTCCTTTCATCTTGGAGCTTACACTATAATAGAGAAGACAGGTAATAACAAGTAAACAAAATTTATAATTTCAGCTATAGATAAATTCTGTACAGAACATTAAGCAGATTAAGTGGGGAGGGTAAGTGTGTGTGTTTGGGGTGGGAGCAGACTAGTATAGACAGAGTGATCAGAAGAGCCCTGTCTATGGAGCTAACACTTGAGCAGAGATCTGCTGATAAGAAGGGAGATCCATGAGAAAATGTGGAGGAAGGACATTCCAGGTGTCAGCTATTCAGCCCAAAGGAGGCAGTGGGCTCGTCACATTTTAGGAAGAGCAAGAAGCCCAGTGGCTGGAGTGGAGGGAATTGGGAAGAGTTCAGAAAGGCAGGCAGAGGCTCCATGATGTAGGTATGTTGGAAGCCATACCATATCCTTTCTCAGCAACCTTATCAAATGAATGTACAGTTCTTCAAAAAAAAATCTTTGTTGAGCAGAAGCTTACTCTGTTTAAACAACCTGTGCCGTTTATGAAGAACATTCTAATGATCAGAATGTTCTCTCTTAGGTCAAACTAAAATCTGCTTGCTTGTTACTTATATTATTTAAACCTGGTTTTGCCCCCTGCAGTGCCATGGAACAAACATATTCCCTCTTCCACATGACTGTTCTTATATTAAAACAATTTCTATGCCTTCCCCTTCTCTTTTTACTTATCCATTCACTTATATATCTGTCCATCCATCCATCCATCCACCCACTCATCTATCTGCTTATTTATTCAATGATATTTACATTTCTAAGGTCTGAAGCACAGTTCTTGGAGAAAGGCATTACAATGCATAATATGAGTAAGCTATGATATTCCCCAGTCTCAAGCAACTTTGTTCAAGTCACCTGGGCCGCGTGCCAAGGATATATAGATACATAAGACACTGTCTGTAATCTCAAGTATAAGATCAACTGTACTCAAGTATAAGAAACGAAGTAAATAAATACAAACAATACCATATGACATCTGGGCAATAAAATCGTGTGTGTACACGGACAGGGAACAGGAAGAAGGAGTAATTCACTCTCTCTGTGTGGGTTAGGAATGATCCATTCACAAAGGAGCTGATGCTGGAGCAAAGTTTTAAAGAAAAAGTAAAAGATTTCATCAGGAGGAGTCAGTCCACTTCAGGGATGAGGAACAGCAAGTGCACAGGCATGGAAGTGTGGAACAGAATGGTATGAGTAAGGAGCAGGAAGTAGTTGAGGATTGCTGGAACATAAACTTTTACTGGGAGGGTATAGGGGATGAGTCGAGAAAGGTAGGCATGGGCCAAATCATGAAGGAACTTGATGCTGTGCTAAAGAACTTGGGATTTTTTCCAATGGGTGGTCAGGGGCCACTGCCTAGATGAGAGATCATGATGGCCTAAATTTGTGTCTTCAAAGTGAGGTATACACACACACCAGGGTATGTACAAAATGCACTGGAGTGGAGGAAGAAAATATGACTATGTCTATTTATATTTATCTCATCTTTCTTAGTGCTAGTTCTATTTCTGTGTGTTTCATAATGTAAATAATATATATTCACATGCATTTTATTTGAAAACAAATATTGGGATGCATGCTCAATTTTTTACAGATATTAATGGCGAGTGATCAAAACACTTTGTGGACCATTGGTCTAATTGAAGGCAGTTGTAGAGGGGTTAGAGAGGAGAGGACAGACATGGGAGACGACTAGGTGACTGATTGAACGTAAGGGGAGAGACATCCAGTTGGTGGCCTAGAGATCACAAAGCTATAATCAGGACACTGGTCAGCTGACCTGTGTATTCTGTGATGACAAAGAAGGACAGGGACCAGCACAAGAGAAGACGTGGCCATATCAAAGGAGAGAAAAAAACTGGATTTTCTGAGGAAGAGCCTGTGGAAACGAAATTTCAGATCTGTCTGAACTCGCTTTCCTCCCCTACGTGTGAAATTCCATACGATGCACATAGGCAATGAATGCTAATATCTGCGTGATGTGGGGACACTTCTGAATGAATGATCATGTCATTAAAGGAAATCAATATTGTTCAAATTTATATACTGCATCAGTTGTAATTTAATTTAACTGTCTCTTCTATCTCAGAATGGTTCCTTTCTGCACCGTAGAATAGCAAGCAGAAAGATGATCTTGAAACTTCTAATAATTTGGCCAAGTTGCCCATCCACAAGGCTTCCCAGCTTCCGCTTCATTCAAGGGGTTCAGGATCTGTGAACTGACTCAGGTCTGGGAATTAGGGGAGGGGCTATGGCTCCTGTGGTCCCACAGTCCAAGTTTTTTACTATCCTCAGGGTTCTGTTGGTAATATAGACCAAATAAAACCTTAATGTATTGCCCATCTATTTCTGACATAGGGACCCATCATCAGTTGCCCCTGCCCAAGATCTCTGTGGGTCAACCCATTCTGATAATCACTCCATCCTTGCTGCCTGTTATAGTTACCGTACTCACATTGCCTCGGTCAATTAAATACTCCTATTTGGCTTTTTCCGTCTTGGACATCCTTACATCCCCATGGAAATCAAGGAGTCTATTAAAATGGAACATCTCCCACCTCCATCGCCTCACTACAGAAGTCAGCTGGTGAAGTACTCTCCAAGGATGTGGTGCCGCTTTCACCACTAGATTTCTTGGTAAAGGGCAAGTCCTCTAATCCTCCCAGGGATTAGAAGACGTAATTAGGAGATGGATAAGCAGGTTACATGTGAGAAATCCACTCCAACATTCTTATCACCCTATGTCTTTGGATTACTTCCACATCAAACCAAGCAAACTCAGAATCTGTAGTTCTGTCGTCAAGGTTCATGATCGAGTTCAGGTTTCAGTCCACCTACTGAGCAAACCAGTCCCAGCTGTTCACACCAGCACACTGAATCAACATATCAATGCATTCAGCTCACTCTAAAATAACATTCTGGGGGCCAGCCCCATGGTGTAGCGGTTAAGCGCGCACGCTCCACTGCTGGTGGC